CGTCGTCCGTCCGAGCCGCTCCCTTCGTTGGTTCGTCTTCACCGCAAGCCAAACCAGCCCACAGAAGCTGCTGAGCGGCTGTCCATGCCATCGCCGCCACCTCGTGTCGTTTCCGGACAGAGCTGCGCGTAGCCCTCGCCGCCGCCGTCATGCCTGTGTCGTCGGAATCGTTAATGGGCGAGTTAACGCTCTAATCCCTCGATTAGTAAGTTAAACTTAATTATGATTAGTTTATATTAAGTTAATTAGGTGATTAGTGATTAATGATGATTAAATTAGGGAAGCATGCATTTTTAGGCATGAAAGTTTGACGATTCAATTGTGTGTATATGATCATGTGTGAATTTATTACTGCATTTTTAGGCATGAAAGTTGTAGTATTTTGATGTGTGAGCACAACCACGTTTGCATTGGTTAAATGAGGAGAAATGAAATTGGCTTGAGTGGTTTAGGTGCTTGCATGATCATATAATGAAAACCCGTTACACCCGATTGAGTGTGGGCGTGCCTTAAATGGAAGTGATGAAACCCCCGCTTAATTACGAGCGTGCCTTAAATGGCCGTGATGAGACCCTTGATGGATTTCGGGCGTGTCCTGAGTGGTCGCGAACAATACTCGGTTAAACCAGAAGACCCCATGCGAGGACGGGTGTACCCTGAGTGGCCGCGATAGATGTCGGTCATGTTGGAAGACCGCCAAACCGTAGGGTTGTGTCGTGGCCCTGAATGGTCTTAATAATTGGAACACGCATGGGTACATCGTGCATGGGAAAGTTGTTATGTGTTCTGATTATGTTATATGCTTATTCCATTATTATGGCACATAATGATTTATAACGTGCAGGGCATGTGCCAAGACAAGGTAAGGATGCCTGTGATTGTGTGATGACATGTTTGTGTATGCTGTGCTGAGTTGCTTGACACTGTGTATAACTAAGGCAAAGCAAGAGGTTGCATTGCTATTGATCTGCCATCATTATATCACTGTATGTTTTAGGTGCATCCGAGACGAGTTGACTTCCTAAACGAGGCTTAGATTGTTAACTTGTTGAGATTTATATATTATTTTGTTGTTGTTAACTGTTTTCCAGGACCTAAGCATGGTGAACCGCCTGGTGCGGTTTGGGGTGCCGCAAGATATGGATAGTGTGATATTCTGAAATTTGACCTATTTTCGAGATTTATGAAATGATTATATCATCGATGTACTTTAGTTAAATCTCACTCGAAATTAATCACTCTTGAGGAGACTAACCAGCAGGGAATGGCTAGCTAGGAATTAAGTACGTGGACCTAAGAACTTGACCGTTGATCGACACTTCAACCATAAGGATTGACGAGGAGATATTTTGAGCCATTATAGATCGATCCAAGGATGGTTATGGAACGATTTGCAAATGTTGTATAATTGGATCGCGGGTGAAGTCGATTGACCATTGTACGGTTTTCGAACGATCCTAAACCTAATCCGAACGATCGTGTCAATTGAAACTAGTGATTGACCCTCACAATTACATGACAACCGAGGTCACCATGGCTCAAGTAAACTTAGATGTGGCCTGATATCGAATCGGCCACGAGTCGATACGCGTAATTCCTAAAAATTACCCGTTAGTTTCAGACACACTAAAGTTGCATTTAATCGAATTTGACCATTACTTGGAATCCAGACTTGGGAATCGAATTTCTCGAAAGCCACGACTAATTCATTGGGCGACGTCACATTTGGCGAGGCCAACCTTAGGGCCACTCGGATTTGTCGGAAAAGTGAAATTTGGATCGGGAGTGGAAAAATGACTATTTTGCCCCTGGGATTATTAGAGTTCATTTGAAAAGTGGAAGGGCATTTTGGTAAAGATGCTGCTCCCATGCTGGCCGAAAATATTGGACCATAATGCCCCTCTTTCCTCTTGCTCATTTCCTCTTTTGCCTTTGGATATTTTTTGACTTTCTTCTAGAAGTTTTAATGTGAGCCATTGGATCTTTAATGAGATTGACTAGTTAATCCTAGCACTTGGTTGAGTCATAGTGGGAGTAGTTGACCCACTCAAGTCACTCAACTCACCATCTCACTCTCTCTCTCTCTCTCTCTCTCTCTCTCTCTCTCTCTCTCTCTCCTTCATTCCCTCCCTTATTCGGCAGACCATCTCCCCCCCTCCTCTCTTCACTTTCAGCGACCACTCCTCCCTTCCAGCCCGACTAGCAGCTTCGCCCGCCACTCTCAGCCACCGTCCGATCACTGTGTACGCCGCCGTCTGCCTGCCTGGTCGCTGGAGCCGCCGTCGATCGCTGTTGCTGCTCTCGCCTCACACCACCGCCATTCTCTCTCATTCTCACCCTCATCACCCTCATTCTCAGCCAGCTTCACCCCTCACCGTCACCACCACCACGTGCCCGTCCCAGCTGTGGTCCGCCAGTGACCAGCGCCGCAACCAAGCCACCCATATGTCTGCTGGAGCTGCTGCTGCTAGGCGTGACTTGTGCTGCCCTTCTTGCTTGGTTTTGCTTGCTTCGGCTTTGAGTATATGGCTTCCTAACCCTTGACTAGGCTAAGTGGTTACTAATGGACATATTAGGGGTCGATTCATGGCTGTGGATAGTTGGTTTAGTGGTTAGATGAGCTTGAATTGCTGAATGGTTCATGTTGGTTGATTCTCGGATTCGTTACTGCTATGCGTCTGTGTTTTGCTATTTTTGTAGAGATCTTTTTGGGCCAAATTTGAGGTGGTGTTCTTCATGAAAGTTGACCCAAACATATTGAAGTATGTCATATATTAAATTTGGAATTTTTGGAGACCTTTTTGGGGTATTCGGAAGTCCATTTTCGGACCGTCACCACTCTGCCGGATTTACTGTTCACCCGATCAGCGTGTCTTTTTGAATTTTTATCAAATTTTTCAGACCTCTATTCAACAAACTCCCTTCATGAAAGTTGTTAAGGAGACTTGTGTCTAGGAAATATAAAAATTTCAAGGTTTTCCAATGAGATTTGGGTACTGATTAAAAGGGATTTCTAAGGCCGAGCGGTCTGCCCAGGTGGACAAATTTTCAATCTGACTTTGAGTGACAAAAAGAGCTGTTTACAGTTGGAATTGGATTTCGTGTCCTCATGAAAAATGTTTATCAGGATGTTTTCAATGACATATCCAAAATTTATAATTTTTGGGGTTGAATTACTATTTATTTCGAAAAGCACAATTGCCAAATTTTAGCTCGATTTTGTGCAAAATTGGTTTGTCTCTCTCGGGAGCTTTTTGATGTTGTTGTTGCACGTGACGGCGTGGCTGGTTGTGAGCTGACCATGAATTGAATGACAATTGGCTAATCGAAAGATGAGAAATTGGTTTGAGTGTTGAATGCCCGTATGCTCACATAATACCCTGTGGCGTTTTACACGGGGTTGTAACTCGTCTTGATGCGTTTTACGCAAGATAATGCCCGATTTATTTGATTCCCAGCAGGTGACTGGATGCCAATCGCGGTGGAGGCCGGATTGATACTCCTCATGGAATGCCTTCTTGATGTGTGTGGCACGGGACGATGCCGTCGCCGACGTAGCGGGACGATGCCTGGTTATGCTAGAAGCCCTATAGCTTGATACGTTTTACGCGGGTTCGGGGAGCCCGAGGGGCCGCTAATAATCTGGACCTTGTGATTGGGATATATGCATTGTGGTATGCTATGTGAGATTATTATTGGGCATGTTCGGATTATTAAGTGTGTTGTGCATGTGCTTGCCCCGATTTGGGTTGTTATGTGCGATGAATGGTTACCATGTTGTGACTGTACACTAACGTGCAGGGCTTGTGCGTGTGCCAAGGCGAGGTAAGGTCGCCTGTGATTGTTGTGGCACGTTGAGTGATAATCTTGCATGCTCTGAACTGTCCTGCGATACGCGTTAGCCTAAGCGAGGCTTAGGTAGTGACTTATTAAGATTTATTCTCATTGTTGAATTACAAACATTTCAGAACCCCGAGCCTTATGATGATATGGAAGATCCAAGGATGCTACCATGGTTCCATGGGGATGATTAGTAGGTTTAGCGATCCCGTCTTTTGGAGTACCCCTTATAGTAGAGAAGCTAGGCTAACCAACCACCGATCCTTTTTGAATGTATGTGGTTTGTAGTGACGGCCTCTAGTAAGTTTTGTATGATGTGAATTTTGTAAGTAACGCTTTGTCTATAAAAATATTTTGTTGATGTGATTCAGTTGTCTCCTTACTACCCGTTTAATTGTATGTTATATGGAGAGTTCGATTTGCTTCCACATGTGCTGCTCTTTTGTTTGTTCGTGTGAGTTGGCGACAAAACCTAGGATGTTGCATTCTTAACGATCGTGGCGGGATGATGCGTGCCCGTGGGGATCGGGGCGTGACATCCCTGTTGAATTGGTATCAAAGCGAGGTTAGCTCGATCTAAGTTGGTCGGAGCCTAGAGTGATAAGGAGCGTTGACCTTTGGGATAGTTAGTTAGGGAGACCTTCGCTAAACGCATGTATAAGTTGTGCTATGAATGTTCAATGGGTATCTGTTTGTGATCGCTGGATGATTCTATGCTTTAACATTTGAAATGCAGGTGCGGCACTTGAGGTAAGTGCACGAACCCTGTTGATTATGACCTTATGCTGCTTGTGAATGGTTGCCTGCTTTGTGAATTGTTATTGTGATTCATTGCCTAGGACTATAGACTTGAATAGTTGGCCTAGATCTCTAATTCTTGGATGGAATTAGAGGAGGTAAGTGGGTGGTGAGAACCTTGTAAGAATGAGCAACCGAGGAAGATGGACAAGAGGTCGATTGGGTCCACGAGCTAGAGTTGCAGAGGATCCCAGAGTGGATGGGATATTGAGGGCACTTGAGGAAGTTGGAATTTTAATGGGTAGACAGACCCAAGAGCGAGCTGTTACTGCTACTGCTGCTGTAGAGGCTGCTGTTGCCGCCGCCAACGGAATGGAAATAATGGGAACCTTGGAAACAATGGGAATAATGGAAATCGCCAGATGCATCAGTTGGTGGAACATTTTTTAAAGCTAAAGCCTCCTAAGTTTGATGGGAAAGGTGATCTAGAGGCTGCTTCCCTCTGGGTCGAAGAGTTGGAAAAAGCGTTTGCGCTACTGAGGTGCACAGAAGAAGAAAAAGTGACCCTGGTGGTGTATCAACTTCAGGGGAATGCAAATGACTGGTGGAAGGCCACCCGGGGTAGAGTTTTCCCTACTGACACGACCCAGAACTGGACTGCTTTTACTGAGGCCTTTAATGGAAAGTATTTCTCGGAAAGTGCCCAGGTGCAAAAGATGGCTGAATTCTTGAGGCTTCGTCAAGGTAAGATGACTGTGGATCAATATGAGGCAGAGTTTGCAAGGTTGTCCAAATTTGCACTGAAGATGGTAGATGACCCATTGGATAAAGCCCGGAGGTTCCTAGATGGGCTGAAGCTGGAGCTCCGTAGTCAACTGATAATGTTGAATTTGAGGGATTATAACGAGTTGTACGAATGGGCTCAAGCGGTGGAACGAGATATGATGGAGAGAGCTGCTGCTTTTAGATCGCGGTACGCCCCGGCTAGGGAAAATCGCATTTTGGAAAGAAACCTATGGCGGGAAATAGGCGCTTTGTCCCTCCTGTCAGAAAGAATATCGGGAAGCCGGCTTACTACTCAAATGTTGTATGTCAGAGTTGTGGGGGTAGACACGGAAATGGACCTTTCCCGAGTAGGGGTGGAGCGTGCTTTGGATGCGGTAAATGAGGGCACCAAGTGAGGAATTGCCCTAACCGACAAGCTGGACCGCCTGTGCAGCCGCAACCGCCCTGGAATGGAAATCAGATTGGAGCTGTTCAGCCGGCTAATTAGAATAGGCCGTCGGCCCAAGGAAGAGTGCATGCTATGGCGAGAAGGGAAGCTGAGGATGCGCCTGGCGTGGTCACAGGTACAGTCTCTCTTTGTGATCATGCTGCATATGCTTTGTTTGATCCGGGGCCATCGCACTCGTTTGTATCTAAGTAATTCGTTAGATTGTTTGGAATTGAATCGAAACTGCTAGAAGTTATGTTGTGTGTTACTACTCAGTTGAATGATAAGGTGCTGATTTCGTTAGGATGCCCAGGCTGCAAGATTGTTATTGCTGGTAGGGAGAATTTGATTGATCTGGCTGTCTTGGCTATATTTGATTTCGATGTTATTATTGGTATGGATTGGTTGGTTAGACAGAGGGCTGTGATGGATTATGGCAGCAGGGTGATTTAATTTAATCCGATTGATCATCCTAGTTATAAATTTGTGGGAAACCGAGGAGAAACCTCGATTCCCTGGATTTCGTCGCTTGAGATGTCTAAGTTGTTAGATGAAGGATGCCAAGGTTACTTAGCGACTGTGGTTGGTTCTTCGATCGAGGAGCCGAGGCTAGAGGACATAGCTGTGGTATGCAATTTCCCCGATGTCTTTCCTCAGGAATTGCCGGGATTGCCACCTGAAAGAGAAGTGGAATTCGTAATTGAGTTGGCGCCTAGGACGGAGCCAATATCTAGAGCGTCCTATAGAATGGCATTGTCAGAGTTGAAAGAATTGAAGGTTCAGATGCAAGAACTACTGGATAAGGGATTTATTCGTCCGAGTGCATCACCGTGGGGAGCACCAGTGTTGTTTGTGAGGAAAAAGGATAGGTCATTGCGCTTATGTATTGACTATCGGCAGTTGAATTAAGTGACCATTAAGAATAAGTATCCACTGCCAAGGATAGATGACCCATTCGATCATTTACAAGGGGCATCAGTGTTCTCTAAGATCGACTTAAGGACTGGTTACCATCAATTGAGAATCAAGAAGGAGGATATACCAAAAACGGCGTTTCGGACGAGATAAGGGCATTATTAGTTTACAGTGATGCCGTTCGGATTGACTAACGCCCTTGCTGCCTTTATGGATTTGATGAATCGAGTATTCAAGGAATTTCTAGCTCAGTTCGTTATCGAATTCATCGACGACATCTTGGTATATTCGAAGAGTCCTAAGGAACATGAGCAACATTTAAGAATGGTTCTACGGACCTTAAGAGAACATGCACTCTATGCCAAGTTTAGTAAGTGCGAGTTCTGGCTGAATCGAGTGGCATTTCTTAGACATGTGATCTCCGGAGATGGGATTTCAGTGGATCCGACTAAGATTGAAGCAGTCACGAATTGGCCAAGGCCTATGACAGCGACAGAGGTTCGAAGCTTACTAGGACTTGCGGGCTATTATAGAAGATTCGTGGAAAGGTTCTCTGCGATAGCCACTCCTTTGACGCGTCTACTAAAGAAGGAAACGAGATTTGAATGGACGGACAAGTGCGAAAGGAGTTTTCAAAAACTCAAGCATAAGTTGACTACCGTACCCGTGTTGACAATACCATCGGGTCCCGGAGGATATGAGATCTACGGTGATGCATCGCTAAAGGGATTATGATGTGTTCTAATGCAACATGGAATAGTGATTGCATACCCATCACGACAATTAAGGCCTCACAAGCTGAACTACCCAATGCATGATTTGGAACTTGCGGTTATCATCTTTGCGTTGAAGATTTGGAGGCATTATCTTTGTGGAGAAAGGTTTCAAATCTACACGGACTATCAGTGTGACATCCTCAAATTCGACCCTATTCGGGATGTAATGAAATGATGATTTTAATCGATGCACTGTTAGTAACTCTCGCTCTGAATTGATCACTCATAAGAGACTAACCGATAGGGAAATGATGTTAAGGAATTAAGTACGCACGACCTGAGAACTCGACCAGGGATTGACAATTCGATCATAAGGATTGACGAGGGACAATTTTGAGCCATTATAGACCGATCAAGGGATGATTATAGAACGATTCGCCAATAGCATACAATCGGATCGCGGGTGATTCCGCTTGACCGTTGTATGTATTGCGAACGATCCTAAACCCATTGACTGATGATCGCATACTTCAGAATTAGCGATTGACCCCTCGCAATTACATGACAATCGAAATCATCCATGATTCGAGAAAACTTAAACGTGGTTTGATATCGAATCAACCACGGGTCGTATACGCGTAACTCCTAAAAGCCGCCCTTTAGTTTGAGATATACTAAAGTCGCAATTGATTGATTTTTACCACGAAATTGAATCCGAATTTGGGTGTCGAATCTTCAAGGATTTCAAGACTAAAATATTGGGCATCGCCTCATTGATTTATTTATTTAACGGTTTACTCGAAATTTTTGGAAAAGGAATTAGCGGGCCGAGAATTTGAGCCCACGAGGAAGTGGGCCGGACGAAGGCTCATTGGGCCTCAAGCCCAATGTGGTTCGGCCATTTGGGCCCAAGGCTAGCCCAAGTGGGGCCAATGAGGCCCATTAAGCCCAATTGCAATTGAAGCCCAAGTTTAAGTCCATTAGCATTTTCAAGCCCATTCCTAATCCGTTTGAGCCCAAATTTGATTTATACGAACCCATACAAAATTCTAGCTCGTATATGCTTATAAATATTTTTATACGTTGTGAAATTACCAAAATGTCCTTATAGCATTTATGATCTTGGGACAAAAAGGTTTAATGAGGGAGACTTTAAGGGAAATTGGCCATGATGAGTGAAGACTTTGGGGGAGAGAAGAAAAATCAGCCAACTCTCTCTCTTATCTCTCATTTTTCTCTCACTCATTCCCTCTCCTCACTCCCTCTTACGCCCACCCCTTCCTCTCTCTTTTCTTTATTTCATTTTCACCTCCATTTCCCCCTTCTCTTCCTTCCTCACGCCATCACCATTTCCAACCACCACCAAGCTACTTTCCAGCCCCTTTAGCTGCTGTGTTGCTGCCGTACCGTAGAACCACCAGCAGCGACGCCGTGACCTCCCGCCACCGTGAGCCACTCATCCGAGCCTTTTCCGCTGTTCAACCGAGCCTCGCCAAGTCAAAACAGCCGCCCACAGCTGCTGTCCAGCTGAGACCCAGCTGCCGTCGTCGTTCCGTGTCGTTTTCGGACCGTGCAACGCGTAGCTCTCGCCGCCGCCATCGCGCTCGTGTCGTCGGATTCGCTAACGGGTGAGTTATCGCCCTAATCCCTACTTAGTAGGTTAAACTTGATTAGAACGGATTAGTTTAAGTCAATTATGTTTAGTGTTAATTAATTAGAAATTAGTTGTTAAGCTGTTGGAATATTATATTAATTTTTGGGAATTAAATAATAATATTTTATTGATTTTCGGAATTAAAAATATTATTATTTTATTAATATTTTTGTGGAAATTCCGAAATTAAATTGTGTTTATTTTAGGCTTAAATTGTGATGCCTAAGCTAGAATTTGCCTTATATATTGGTTTGTATGCCAAATTGAATTGTTTGGTTATGGTGAAATATAGAATTACGGGTATTTAATTAATAAACCCTGAGGTGTCGGGTTTATTTGTTAAGTTTTATGTGAGAAATATGTTGTGGATACTTAAATATAGAAGCATGCCAAGTTTGGGAATTTATTGATATGTGCATAATCATGTGTGAATATTTTAGTACATTTTTACGTGTGGAAGTTGCGATATTTTAACGTGTTAGCACGGATCATGTTTGCATCGGCTATTGAAAATTATAATGATGGAACCTGAGTGTTGCTATGTGTGCATGATCACCTAAAGGTTCCTTTCGTGCCCGGTTATACCGAAAAACCGTATACCGGATGACCGCCAACCTAGGGTTTGGCCGTGGCCCTAACCGGTGTCCCAATTTGGTAATTGGAAGCCGTCGCTGGTAGCAGGGGAGACGTAGTCATTCGTGAATCGGATTCGGAATGAGCCCATTTATGGGATATACCGTCATTGTGGTAGGGTGAGACGATGCCGCGCTCGATGGGGCGAGGCGATGCCCGGTTATGCCGGAAGACCGCCAACTTGAGGCGAATATCGCGGGTTGTGCCGTAGCCCCTGGTGTGGCTGTAGTAATTGGAATATGCGTGAAAGATTGTGGTGGCATTGCGCTTGATTATGGGATGAAATTGCTAGGCACGGTATGGGACAGGCCGAAGCGGCTTCACTTTATAATTAGGACACGTGTGAATGCATTGTGCTTGAGAAGGTTGATGCGTATTCTGATTTCAATGCTTATTGCATTATCATGACATACGGTGAATTATAACGTATAGGGCGTGTGCATGTGCCAAGGCAAGGTAAGGCTGCCTGTGATTGTGTTGTGAAGTACCTGTATGTTCTATATTGAGTTGTCTACCATCGATGTATCGTTGCATGTGTTAGGTACATCCGAGATGAGTTGACCTCCTAGTCGAGGCTTAGGTCGTGAACTTGCTGAGATTTATCTCATCCGTTGTTGTTAACCACTTTTCAGGTCATCCGATATGAGTACACGTACCGTTCCTTGGGAGCCGGCTTTTTGAGGGAGAACACCTTTTAAGGTTATCCTCGTAGATAGAGGAGCTAGGTTAACCCCTACCTGTTCTGGTTGTAATCGGGAAGGTCCGTGTGGCGGACTTGTAATATATTAACCCGATGTATTGCTGATGATGTTGTTTAAATTGAGGTGTGTTTTCCTGACTATCCCTATTATTGTGATTGGGAGTTTTTAGTTCGCTTCCGCATGCATTTAATCGTTAGTAATTCGATTGGGTCGGCGATGCATCCTGGGACGTCGCATTTATAACGACCTTGGTAGGATGTTAGCGCGCTTGAGGTTCGGGGCGTGACAATAAGAGCTTAAAGTACTTGTTTTCCCAAAAGGAGTTGAATATGAGACAATGCCGTTGGAT